CATAATCAGTTAAATTACAAAGCAAAACAATGCTGAGGAGCAGCAAGTGTGGGGAGCGGGTGGTAAAACGTAAGCTGGACGTCGTTTGGCTTTGGTAAGTTATTTAGCCGACTTAAGTGGGTGGGGCAGTATCTTAGTTGGCCAAATATGAGCTGCAAACGTTGGTAATTTGTGCGCCACGGGTAACAACAACGAATCGATAAGTTTCTACAAGCTCCGGCTGCAGCAATTTACGGCCCAATCAAATAAAGGGCAAAGGGCGTGCTCTACATCTTCATCATCATCATCGATATCATCATCATCAGCAACAGCAACAACACCATCAGCACAAAAGACAGGAAGACAGCTCGCCCCCGTCGGGTCAGTCACAATTGTTGACCCATTTCGTTCGGTCGCCCAGCCAGCTGACCAAATTGTCGGTTTATTGCATTGAATTAATTATTACGTATGCTCCATAAGCACGTCCGACGTGTGGAACAGCCTCTCAGTGCTCTGGGCGCGGTGCTAAAAATAACAAATAACAAACTCGAAAAGCATCGAAAAATTGAAAAACCTAAAAAAAGCGCTGGGAAAAGCGATGAAAAACGATGGAAAAAATATTAAAAACTCCACAGCGAATGGGCGCGTTTTGTACTATTTTGTCATAGTTGTTGCCCCGTCTGCAGCGGCCACAAAAATAGCCGCACAAATCTCATTGAGAGTCGTAGACGTGTGCACCATTTGCCACAGAGATGTTGCAACATGGTGCACCGCAATTCGAATACACTTTGCGAACCAATTGAAATAAAATTATCTACTCAAAATTTTCAAAAAATAATAACATCTATAAATATTATATGATATTTAAAAACTTTTCATTACTTAAGCGAAATAATGTGTTAACTCCTAATCTCATTAGTCAAATAACCCATCACAAATGATAGAGTATAGGGAAATTAGTAGAACATGTAAATCTCTTGGGCTATGCCTTTAGCACTGGACACCGTCGTCATCTCGCTTTCAGCAGCGGCTGCCTGGAACTGTTCCAAAGCGTTTGTCGAAGAAAATTTAATGCGGTCAGTGGCTTCTTGACACGCCACAAACTATTTTCGAATATGAATGTATTCAGAGTCGGTATTCATTTCTCTTTGGTCAACGCTGGAGCTGCGTTGTTTTTGTTATTTTTAGCGCCGTCTGCACAGAATTACGGCTGGGGCTCACTTCGCAGCGCTTGGAGCATCCTTCAATATTTCAAGCAGCAGCTGATGCTATGTACAGTTTTTTTTCTCATTTCTGTCGGGCTTTTCTTTACCTCGTTGCGAACTTGTTGAAGTAAGCGAGGGGGCGTGAAGAGAACGATGAAGAGCTGAAGTGTATCCCAGCCAAAACTAATAAAACGTCAAAGCAATTTTGACAACCAGAGAGTTGTAGGAAAAAAGTTGTCAAAGAAATAAAGTTTTTCTGGTCTCTCCGTGTGCATCCAGGCCCAAAGAAAATGAAATATTTGTGCTTTTATTTAAGTATTATTTGCACACACACTTGTTTATACTTTATCTTTACCTACACTCATGTGTGTACTCAGTAAAAATAGAAGAGTGAATGCCACTTCTACTGAGTCACTCGTTCTATGACTTGATTCACTAAATTGAGTGATGTTATTTCGATATAATAAACCACTCAACATACAGCGAGGTAAGTACTTCCACTCTAACGCTTAAGTTTGTCATTTAAAATATAAAAACCATTACTGAAAGGTTCTGTCTACAAATAGGCCAGCTGTTATATGAAATTTGACATATGAGCTTTCTTAGATATATTTTTCACTATATTATTCAGTTTCAAGCATAGTTCATAATAAATCAAGCTGATTTAGAGACGGTTGTAGAGACTGATAGCTGCCATTCGTTGCTTCTATATAAACGCAACAGAGCGTTGCATAGTTCACCTCACAATAAGAATACCCACTTCTAAGGTCAGACAAAAGTCTAACAAAAAGAAGCGAATGTAGGCACTTGGCTTCCAGAGCAGCTCGGTTCGCTGTGTAAAATTTGTACAAACGCAAACTTTGTCTGCTAGTTATTTGCAGTCAACGGCGGTTAAGCAGGGGGTCAGAGCTTTCATTTTGCTCTTTCGTTGCGTTATTTATGTATCTTTCTATGCCTTGAAGACGAGCTTCTCCTAGGGAGTCTGTCAGATCAGCTTAAAGCTATCAGATAAGAAACTGCGCTCTTAAAGCTCTGTGAAAATTGCGGCTTAATGTGTTAAGTGCTCATAAAATGTATACCTCACACTGTGAGCTATGTGCTACCTGTGCATTTGTCACGCCTATTTTGCGCGGTTTTCGGTTTTCGGATAACATGGGTTAAGTGTGGCCCAAGTGCCGCTCATTAGCACACGCACACAAACATATAAAAAATATACACAAACATGTTTATGCACACACGCTGCGAGAATTCGAATGAAGTTGTTAGCGCTGAGAGGCCACTCGTTTTTTGAAGTGTTTTTCATTTTTCTAGGCAACCAGGAAAACCCAGCGGGTTGCCTACAACAGCTCTTGACCCTGGGCCAGTAGACAACAACAACAACAACAACAACAACAACAGCAACAACAACAACGGCAACCCATTTGAGTTTATGACTTGTGCCATTTACACTCCTCATCTCGATTGAATGACTCAGGCCTTGTGTCCTTGCTTGCGTGTATTTGCAGCATTAAAGGACCCGTCAGCCCCTCAAACCCACAACACGCTAATGATATTATAAATGTGTTAGCTTCCCTCATATATACATGCAAATATTTATGTCCTTGTAAAGGGTATGCTTATTAGACCCCTTCGAAGTCCTAAAGTTTGATACCCATGCGCATCCCGAAACAGTATTAGCGACTAATAATGGGAATTGTAAATATATTAGATTTATTTAGTTCAGGTAAAATATATATTAGCAAAATCAAATTTTGTAATTCAAAATTTCTCTTTCAGTTCGTAGAGGGTATCTTGTAATGAGACACTTTCGTTGAGCGTATTCCCCTTTTAACAGAATTCTTTTGGTTTCGTCAATTCAATTAATTTGCAGCCGTGTCCTTAAGTGGCAGCCTACGAAGGATCTGCTGTGTGGTTAAATTTTAATGCTGCGGGGCAGAGCTCGAGCTTTATTGGGTAATGAAAATTTAATTGACTCGGGTCGCCGCAAATTGCCCTCCAGCATTTCGCAACAGTGAAAACTTATGTCGATTCCTGAAATTTTCGTTAAATTTTAGAAGAGTTTTAAATTGTGCGCAGCTCGTTAAAGATTTAGCTGTGCAATCGAGGGAATGAGGGGATTTTTTCCACAAACTGCTCTACGAAAGCGCAGCGTATCATAAAAAAAATATCGAGCGTGGCGCAAATTATGAAAAGTACCTCGGCCAGCGACATAGAAAAGTGGAAAATGCGCGACCGCAAAATGCAAATGAAAATGCAAAATGTGAAAAGGCCGAGAGGGAAAACGGGTCTGGCTCTGCGACTGAGAGTCAGCTGTCGACACTGCTCTTGAGCTTGAATGGCGACAAGGCAGACGGCGTCGGAGTTACAGGTAAACATCCCTACCCAAGCACACACACACGTGTAGTGTGTCTGGGCCGGCACTGACTTTGGCTGTGGCTCTGACTCTGACTCTGGATTTCGCTTTGGCAATTACGTCAATTGCGCAAACGTCCAAATGTAACAAACAAAACCGTTAAACTGAATTCCACTGCAATTTATGGCAGCTAGTCACTGCTGTGTTTTCAGCTACCCTGTAAAGTGCAAGGTGCAAAGTGGTTTAACTGTAGTTATGACCAGTGCAAATACTAAATTATATATATATATAATTTCGCAATATCTAACTTTCTTTCAGACCTAAAATATAAAGAGTATGAATTCATATACCATGCGTCGAATAAATCTTTTTTTTGCACATGTTTTCGTATTTCAGATCAAAGGAGTATTCTGTATGATTGAAAAGCCAGGCCAGAACAAGTCGACACGGTATATGAGTTTAATTTGTTTATAAATAGAATTACGACTTAATAAAATACGGTATAACGTAGTCGTGAATACCTAAATTAGCGCATGCTTGCTTGGTTTTTCTTAGGCGTCTGATTCATAGCCAGTTCTAGTGAAGTTTTTGCTAGTGTTGATGTTTGTTGTTGTTATTCTTCTTCTACTTATTCTTCTTCTTCTTGTTGATATCATCCAGAATTGTTGCAGACGTCGTGTCGCTGTCGGCGCTTTGTCTGCACAGCTCAACCCATTGCCATGCGATCCATTCAAGCCTATGCCCGAGCTTTGGGGCGTGGCACAATGCGCATTGTTGTGCTTTCATTTCATAAAGTTGTCGGCACAGAGCAAAAAAAAATCGTAAAAATAACAGCAATGAACATACAGCAACCAACTGAGAACTTTGTGTGCAGTTACATCAAATATTTAAAGTACGCGCTGACTTGTTGTAGTGTGGCCAATACCCACACCCACACACACATACATACATACATATATATATATGACTTTGTAGTAGTTATTGCTCAGTTTTTGTTGTTGTTGTTGTCGAAGTACAGCAGCAGCAGCCACAGTGCCGGTTATAATTTTCTCTTTATACCCTATTTACATAAAACAAGCGAGTATATAGCGTTCGTTTGATAATAGGAAAAGGCTTGAGGCATTAAACCTGGGAAATTCTCGTTTCTTGGCGACCTTTTAAGTTACAAAATTCATACTTAAAAGTTACTTTATACAAAACAAGTATCGGCTAAAGATATAACTCTTATTTCCATTTTATTTGTTAATTCTATATGTGATGATTATGATAATCTGGAGTATAGAGTATAGCGCCGTTGGTGCGAGTGCAACGTATTAAATCTTTTTATTAGCTGCATTTTTAATTGGCCGCAGACGTGAAAGAGCGTTGGCAAACGTGTTTTTGGCCAATTCTACGTACATTTGGCATTCATTTCCTACGCGACTTTAGGCGCGAGGTCAAGTGTGGGCGTTTGATAGACTCACCTTTAGCCAAACATGACACAGAGCGGCGACCTCTGCTTTGCTGCCAGTTAGTCAGTTATCAATGGCTGATAAAAGACACGCGCGGGTGGTTGGTGATGTCGGTGGCTGTGGCTGTGGCTGTGGATGCAGAAGGCACAAAAGTCACCCGGTTTCGGTTTGTGCAAAAACGAAAGAAATTAAACGATAATTTGTTTTGAGCGGCAGACGCGACTCCGACTCCGACGCCGACTCCAACAGCGACTGCGACTGCGACTGCGACGCTAACGTTGACGACGGCAGTGCAGAGTGTTTACTGTCTCTTTCTTACTGACTGTCGCCCTCCTTCGCTGACTCGCTCACTCTCGTTGCGTTTGTTGGCTTGTGTTGTGTTTGTTGGTTTTGTTTGTTCTTCTCTGCTTCGCCTTTTACTTTACAACGCGTTGTTGCATGCTGCACATTTCACTTATTTTAATCAAAAATGCATTTCATACACCGCTTTATTTTCAATTTGTATTTCACTGTTATGATTGCGGCAAATAGCATTCGGCTTGGTATTATTTTCGTGTTTGCTTTGCACGGCTATCCTGCGTGGGCAAGGATATAATTTTCTTTTTCTTTGGTGGAAAGTTGTACGCATAATACGCGTCACATTTTTTTTCTTTTGCTTATTCAACGCGCAGTAGCCCAGCTAAGTAGTGCGTTGATTATTTTTAATATTTTCACTACATATTTGTTAGTTTTAAACAATTTTCACGCACCGCTAGCAAGCGTAGACACGCTCAATTTTTCTCAAATATCAACTAAGCAAAAAATAGTGAGACCGCGCTGAACTTACCGAAAAATACCAGCTGCAACACACAATCAGTATTTTTACACGTTTCGTCACATGGAAATGTTTAGCAACATGTCGCCTCAAATTCGGCGATGTGACCAGCATGCTCTGGTATATGAAAACCTTAAAAGTTTTCATGGCATTATTGTTGTTGAGAACATTCGCCGCACCGTAAAGAGCGTCTTACTAGTACCTTATTTTATCAATAGATGTCGCGAGGTGGATTTTCGCCATCTATGTATATATTAAGTAAGTAATTATTTATTTTAACGATCCGGCATCAATCAGTAATTTTTTAAATACATTGAAGAAAATTTATGAATAACGGCTATGATTATATATCCAGCAAATCATATTAGCAAGTATTATGTTAAATTAAGGGGATAAATAGAATATGTTCAGCTTTAGATGTGCAGACGGTAAGTCAATGAGTCTATTATAGAAACAATTAATAGAGAAGCAATAGAGAAATTTTATCGCTTATCAACTAAATGAATTATCGATGAAGCTCGTCAAACAAACAAATTACAACCAAGCAAATACGAATGACGGTAGAGCGTTTTCTTTGTAACGGTAATAATAACCTTCAACAATTCACGTTCTGCGATTAGCCGAGTGACAACACTTAACAATTCAAAATTTTGCGTGAGCTTCGCCACAAATTCGAGACTTTACATATAGTGTAAGTTTAGTTCGTGCCGGGACGCGTTGCTTTGACTGTTATTAAGATAGTTCTTCGTCGCAGAAGGGAAGGTAATAAATAATTGAGACGTTATTTGTTAATTGGTAAAGACAACTTATTGCAACGTTCACCTGAACACTTCTACTTCTTTTGCATGCTGTTGAAACCCTTTTTAAAACACATACATAAATCATCAATCATCACGTTTTTGCTGATAACGCCAAATAGGTTCGCAATGTCTATGAGGCAGTTTTAGCGTGAACTCCGCAGTATTACTCGGTGCGTTCCTAATAGAGCAACAATATGGGTTTCGGTTCTTCAATTCCTCAGTCGCGCTTTAAATGTTTCGCTATCTTTTCCCTAATAATTTTCCTCGTATATTGTCTTGTTAATAAAGATATCGGTTCAAATTATGACACGGGAATGCTTGAGCTAAGAACTGACAAAACGGAAAAAAAAGAGGAAAACAAAGCATTTGATAATAATATAGCGAATTTTACTCTTAACGTAACCCCAGACGTAGAGCGAGACAAAGTTTCGTCAAAGCCACTGTACTATGTAGAGAGTCCGCAGTGTAAAATACCTTATGTTGATCCCTTCTCCAAGGATGTAATGATGATATACAAGCCCATGGTATTCGAGACGTGCACGAATGATTCGGATCTAGTTACACCTTTCTTCGATTTCAATCGAAAGCGCTATGTGCTCCACATTGATGAGAGTGTCGCAGCGAAAATACTTAATTCCAGTGAAACTGAATTTAATTGTTACTATCAGGAAATAACACGATATGCAGACCACGACAGTTATGACGAGTAAGGTTAATTTATATTAGTTTCGGTTATGATTTAAATTCAGATTACAGTGGCTAATGTCAGCAGGCAGTTGAAGTACTTTTTCTATTTAATTTGATTAAGTACAAGTTATTAATTGTTGGACATGTCAAGATTTGTAAATACATTAAATTACGAATAAGATATGTTCTTATGGAACAAATAATTAAATTACGAATAAGATATGTTCTTATCGAATAAATTTAAAAGTGGAATTTATTATTTGTTCTTTTGTTTTATATAATAAACTGAACATAAATTTACCATTTATATACACTCAAAGTTATTGATCTGCAGTAATACTCCAAGTCATCCAATTATTCAAATGGCGATATTTTTTGTGTATATAATGTATATATACATCTTTGGATAATTGAATGCTTTTTTTATTAATTTGTCTTATGTGCTCGTATATTTAAATATACATCTGTATGGTAATACTTTTCCATAACTGACATCTTTTTGTATCAACTATGATCTCTAAAGCCTGCCACCGAGGAAATACTTCAGCCAGGATTACGTAGTACCGTTACACGTTCAGGGCATGATACTGGGCTGTAGCGAGGTAGCTAACGATTCGAATGTGCTGCAGACCGATGCATTTGGATTCGTTCAGCACATCCCAACACCTTTAGCCGTGGCAAAGACGCATGCTAAGCCGGCACACCGAAAACCCAGTGTTATAATGTTCGGCATTGACAGCCTCTCGAAGTTTAATCTGAGGCGCACCATGCCCAAAGTTTACAATTACCTAACGCGGGAAGGGTGGTATGAGATGCAGGGCTACAATAAGGTAATTCACATGAGATAAATATTATCAAATCTTTCAATATTAATTCGATATAATACTCAGGTGGCTGACAACACTTTTCCCAATCTAATGGCCATTCTAAGCGGCTATTCGCCCGACGCGGCCAACGAGAAAATCTGCAATACGAGTGAAAAGGGCTGCTTTGATCGGATTCCGTTCATCTGGAAGTATTTGAAGAATGTGGGCTACTTGACCGCCTATGCTGAGGACTCGAGCTTCATGAACACCTTCAACTATTTGAGGCCGGGTTTTCTCATACAGCCCACTGACTACTATTATAGACCTATGCTGAAGGCCTTCAATGACGAGATGAAAGCTTGGAAATGCGAAGAGTGCACACTTACTTATTGTATCGGAAGACGAATCCAAAGTAGCTACGTTTATGACTACGCCAAGGAGTTTGTCAGGCGCTACGTGAGCGAGCGGCCCATTTGGGGCCTGTTCTGGTCGAGCAGCTTTAGCCACGACGACTATGCTATGCCCTCGAAGATGGAAAACTTTGTCCTACAATACTTACTGGACTTCGAGATGGATAGTGTTTTTGATGATAGCATTGTAATATTTTTGTCTGATCATGGTGCCCGTTATGGCAAATTAATGGATTTAGACAGTGCTTACCTAGAGGAGCGCTTGCCCGCGATGTTCATCTACTTGCCGCCCTGGTTTCGGGCACAGTATCCGCAGTATGCGAAGGCCTTAAAGACAAATCGTAATCGCCTGACATCCAATTTCGATCTGCATAATACGCTCAAGCACATCGTCGAATTAGCCGGTGTGTCCAATGCTCCTCCACTGCCCAAGGCCAACGATTGTCCCACTTGTCAATCGCTGTTCTATCCAGTGAGTGCGTCTCGAAACTGTTCGGATGCCGGCATACCCGAGCACTATTGTACTTGTGAGCCATTTAAAAATATCAAGAGTGATTGGTCCTCGCGTATTGCGCATCGGGTCATCGATCGCATGAACGACTATCTGTGGGCCAAAAATATGAGCAGCCTCTGCCATAATCTCACTTTAGACTATATTCATAAAACGGAAATTAAGATCGGACTAGAGCACAATTTCAACGATGACCTGTCGCATATGGATATTGGCGTCTATCGCACCAAGTTCAAAGTTGAACAAAATAGCGCAGACTTTTATGCAACTGTCATTTACAATAATATCACCAATCATGTGGATGTCGATGTGGAGACCATCAGCCGCACAAATTCCTACGAAGAAGACTCAACCTGCATACAGCATAAGATTGTCAAGCTATATTGCATATGCTTTACAAACCTAAAGTCCTAATAGTAAGAGCTGCTCATCTCAATGTTATTTCGATTAATTCACTAAATATATTTTAGTTCGTAATCAAGAAACCCTTATCAAATTGTGTCAATAGAATTTTTTTAAAAGTTTCGCAATGTTGTCGGCATGATAAAAATATAGATATATTGTGCTTTTGATATAACTAATGAAAATTCGCACGCGTCCCTTTTGATGAACCCGAACTTGTTCAAATCTAAAATTATTATTTATTTACTTTTATGACACCTTGTTTTAGTCCAACATACTAAGACCTATGGATATTTGTATACGAACAGCTCATTTAACTGTAGGAGTATTTCTAAACGAAAACGTGTTTTGATTTCTGATTAAAGATTTACTTTTGTCTATATCTCGTCATTAGCGGCTTCAGCAAAACGTGTCCAACTGTGGTACATTCTTTTTGATGAAGTCGTGGGGGTCGCAACAAAAGCTGTAGCCTGAGTCTCGTTTAGCAATAAGCTGCAGGGATAGAGGACATGGCACCTGTCGGCAATTCGGTGATGGGGTCTTCGGGTCGTGGACATTGTTGTAGGTGAGAATAGCGAGACAGGTGCCAGCGTCATCGGTAATAAGCTTGAACAGCCATTTGGGTACGGGGTTACTATTCCGTGCTCCCAGATATATATCTGTCAGTTGACCTCTGCTGTCCGGCAGCTGGAGTACACCCAATCCGCCCGTGCACACTTGGAGGGCTGGGTAAATATCGTTTGTGAGCTGCTTGCGTAGCCAGCTCTCGACCGTTTTCCAGTTGCTGCGATTGATGCTGCGGAACTGAGCCACAATGTTGATGTACTTGAAGGTCTGACGCATATATTGCTCAAAGCCAAAATCAAGCGAGGGTGCCAAATGGCCACGATCGAAGACCAAATCGCGCGAAGAGTTAACAAACCGCTGAGTTGGCCCAAGCAGCTCTTTGAACCGTTTATATATGTGCTTGTTTTGGAATGTGGCGGCTGCAACACCGCTAATGATACCATCTGTAGTGAAGGCCTGTACAGGTCTGCCTTCTGTAAAAGGCGTTAAGATCAGGTTGCACTAGCTTTAGTCCAGGGTACTTACTCAGTTTGATGGGATAAGCCAAATGTTTGACAAAGTGCGCTCTTTGATTAACAGCATCAAAACAACTTCTGTAAATCTCCAGGAACTGCTCGTCGTTTAGCTTATAGCCCACACGGTACGTGGTATGTGGACAGTGACTATCAACAACTACTTCCACGGTTTCCTTTTGCGAACTGCTGCAATTCCGCAAGGCTGGCAGAGCCGGCTTGAATTGTCCACTGGGCTGGCAAGTGGTGTACACGATGTCCTGGTAACTGCACAGCATATCCAACTTTTGATGGCTGCGCACCACATCCAGACGTAACGGATATATCTGGTTATTGGCGCTAAACGCAAATAGACGATTTGTCTGAGATACATCCGCAGCGCCAAGTTGACAATCAGCGCCAACCCGTGCAACAACTGAAAACAACTTGTTGTATGTAAATTTCAATAAACCTTATTCAAGTTTCGCACTCACGTAGTAGCACCGATAAACAAAGCGTTTTGTTCATCTTTCCAGCTATACACAACTGATGAGCGTTTGCTCTTGATCTCAACTGTGAACCTCAGAAAGACCCCGAGAAGTAGAAAACAAATTAAATACGGAGAGCAGCCGATGAAACGCTCAGAAATGCTGCTAGAAGCAGATAATAAGACTATACGAGACGCAAACATAATACCCGAAGTACAAAATTCAAGAGATAACATTTGAATGTCTCATTCTTTCGGTGAGCAGAGTATATTGCCTTCGTATTGTGGAAGTTTTGTATGTGTATAGCGTCTTATATACCCGCTTCAGTTAGAGCGTTTAGTTTCTTTAGTAGGCATAGGAAGTAGATCTAAGAATATCTTGATTACGCCTACTTTGTTATCTACGCCTTGCGAGGTGTTTGTTAGTCGGGCATTCTTCTTTATTTTCCCATCATATTACACCAGCCCGTTTGCATTTTTAGCGTCTCGTTCGCGTGTCTTGGCATTCATAAATTGCCATTTCAATGTGTCGTCGACACTTCAGAGCGCGGGTCATCGCTGATAAGTGAGACACGGCAAGGGATTGGGCCGAGTTGGCTCTTAGCAGAGGTGAGGTTGAGGCTGAGGCTGAGGCTGAGGCTGACAGTCTGGTGTATGCATAGAAAATGCCAAGCCCCTCATTGCTTATCAGTGTTTATTATCAGAGCTCGACAAGTGGAAATGTCGGCTGTGCTGTTTGTTTGGCTGTTACATTCCAACATACATACATACATACCACCCAAGTAGTTATGAGTATCATAACAAAAGGGGTTGTCGCACAGTACATATACGCTTTTAAGCTGCGCTCGCTGTGTGCATTGCTTTATATTATCAGCACCCGTGCAACTTATCTAAAATTGAATCTAAGGTGTAGCAAAAAAAGAGAAAGAAAAAATAATAAGAAATGCGCACTTGAAACTATTCGCTGGGTCAGCGTATCTCGGCTCTAAGGGCAACCCAGTCAATCAAGTTTCTGGGACACCAGAGTGCAGGCAGGCAACTCTTCGAGATGCGTGCGTGCACTTGGCAGTTGCGCTTATCAGATCAATATTACCTCAAAATCAGCAGAAATGTTAGGGCTTAGCATAAGTAGACTTTTGAGAAGTCGTATCTAAAATATAGTAGTAATTTATCTACTACATTTAATTGTGTTGTGGAATTGTAAAATATTTAACTCTGAATGTACTTAGCACGATCCACTTGGCGACCAGTTACATTTATTTGCCAGCTTACAACTGGGTCAGCAACTGCGAGAACTCCTTTTGGCACTTTAATGCATTTCTATTCCACACATATTTAGCCACAATTATTTCACTGTATTTTATTGCAGCAATGCAGTGCTGCTCTGTCAGCAACATATTACAGCATTCCTACAGCAAGTAAAAGTATCTATGTAAGCCAAAGAATAACCTTCATATAACATTAAAGACTTCAGCTTAAAAAGATTAGGAAAAAGTTACATTTTCTAGAGAGTTGAAAATTTTAAAGCCTCTAGCTCACCGGTCTTTCTGCTATCTAGAACTGAGCGAGCGTGTATTTATCCTGGGCTAGCACAGTCGCTCAGTACCTGTTACAAATATTCACAAAAGAAAAGAAATCTCCAAGTGAAGGAAACATAAAGAGGCTTATAGAAAAACTAGTTTTTTCTAAGAAATATCTTATATTCTATAGCAATAATAGTCAGCATAGAAATAAATAGAGTAAATGCGTCTGAAATGGAAAAGATTTCTTTATGCTTCTCTCACACAGCTCTTTTTCTAACAGAATGGAAAATACTTAGAAAAAGAAAACTATTCCAGATCCAAGTAGACAATGGACCAAGGATTTGTTATGCAGCTGATTTTGTAAGCCACCAATAGACAATAAGAAAACATTACGTGCGCCAAGAGAAGTAAACAATGCTCTTTGTATGGCTCTTGGGAGTATGAGCGATGCGGGCGCTGTAAATGCAATTTTCAGGCAATTTGAATACATTAGAGCGGCTTTTAGTGCACGTCAAATTGTGCCATTTTAAGTCGTAGAGTGAGTGGGGGGAGGCACTTGTTGTATGTGTGTGAGACAGATTATAATGATCAATAAAAGTAAAAGGTGACTCCATAAAGCAATGAAATCAACGGCCCGACCACAAGCTGGCACACAAATGAAATTATGCCGCAGTGCAGACGGCACTTTCGAGTGGGTGGGTGTGGCTAAAGCCAGCACACACCCACACCCACCCACACTCACATTTATAGGGCCATTCGAGTTGCGTGTTTACAGCACAATTACAACTGTTAGGTTTTATGCGTGCTCAATAGACGCGAGTGCGTCCAGGACTCGCAAAGTTATGCTGCAGTTTTATGAGCAAGCAAAGAGACGTAACCACTGCCCACGCTCACACACATACACACACACACACGCATAGTAATCTCGCAGTGGACGAATTAAAAGGCAACAGCAGCGTGGCCTGCTGAATAATTTATTCAATGTCTGCTTTTAGGCGCAGTAAAGAGCGACAGCGAAAGCAACAACTGGTATTTTATTGCACACCTACACACACACACACAGACATACACACACCTTTGTTCCAGCAGCAATTTAAAATGCTGCCGCAATTTATGAGCAGCCACTGAATGACCATTTAAAGTTCGAATTTCTGAGGCAATCAAATATTATTCCTGCTATTATTGTTGTTCTTGCCGTTTTCTTGATGCTGTACGATTTATGAAAATTGATATGCTGAAAACTTTGCTTCTGCTTGAATGTTTCTTTAACGGAATTGAGGTGAGATTTTGATAAATATTCGTTTAAGAGTTATTTGCACTTGATACAAAATGCAAAAATAAAAGACTTTTGAAAGCCAACAATAAAATATCATTTTATGATTTACTTTGACCAATGGACGGTATGCATACAAATTAATAAAGCGTGTATATTTGACTTAATATTCAGTTCAGTTCTTAAAGCACTTAGTTATTTTCCTCTAAGTCACAAAAGAAATAATTTTCGTTCAAGCAATTTAAAAGTCAAAGTCTAAGTCCACTTAAATATTTCAAACTATTAAATAGAACTTAAAGAAGCTAAGAACTGAATAGCTGACAATCATAGCATGAATTTTCAGAAACAAAATATACTAACTAGCTAAGCCCTGCCAGAGCACTAATTGGAATGCATGCATCAAAGCAAATGTGACCTATAGTGGAACAACAATTGTAGTTGGGTTTGGGCACACACAACATGAGACACATCCAATGGAATATTACTATGTAAAGCTTTTGCATTTTTGGCTTTTCACATTTGCACATTGCCAACCTGTGTCCAAGAGTTACTTTCGAGCTAAATCCACACAAAGCATTGTGCCAACTTTAATGGCTTAGTTTTGCCAGACTGCAGCAACATAATTTATTTTTACTCAAAGCGAATTATTCAGCTCCGATTTTAAGCCATGTTTTGCATATGTTTTTATTTGTGGCACAAAACAAAACACATTCAATTGCATTTGGGTTTCACATTGATTTCGGTCATGTTGAACAAGCAAACAGCAATAACAATGAAAACACTTGTTAGTTCTATTGTATTAAATTGTCATAATGTCGTCGAAAAGCCACGCCACGTTGCGTATACGTAATACACGCATGTGCCTCTGTGTGCGAGCTTCTGTGAGTATTCAATAATATAAATTTATATATGCCAGCTAAGTCCCTTAACGGCACTAAGGACTTGCCTTCCAAGCATACAAAATGGCAACCGAACTAATACACGAACATACATCACACACCCACACACGGGAGCTCAAAGCGTTACGTGCTCTGCGGTGGCCCATCGAAGGCTTTGAGCTGAAGAAATTTGTGTTTATATTTGGCAAGCAGCATTCGTGGACAAGTTTAGCGTTTAAGCACACCATCTAGCAGAGCTAGTTGCAGCCGTGCTCGATGTTGGCCCTCAATGTGCGGTAAGTAGCGCTTAAAAGCAGGCCAAAACAGGCGTGTCTTTAATAGCCTTTCAACTCGTACGCATATTCAAAACATTCACAATCTAAATGCACATATATTTATAACAGCCCACTTGAGCAATGCGCTGTGGGACCGATAAAATCCTTAAACAAGGATTCAAGTGGTACAGACCACGCGTATAAATTGCTTATGCAATGTCGCTAAACGCTTTAACAATTTCATGCGCCAGGCACTTAACGTGACCCAGAGGTCAAAGGGCAGACAACATGAGCTATGTTCGACAAAGCTAAGCCATGCCAATCTTTGAAAGGCTGTGCTTATGTATTTGATAGTACCCATGAATGATACGGTGTTATCTGTCGTTTAGTTCTTTGGTGTGAAATGTTTTTTCTTTTATAGCTAACCTCTATTCTATTACATAATACTGCTGGAATATTTAACGATTAATAAGCCCAGTTAATGTTGCGCGAAATAACCAGCGAAATGAGAAAACTTTTGCATTACTTTGGCCCAGGCTTAGACCTAAGATTTATAAATGACCCGCAGCATTTAAGGCAAACAACATGCATGCGACTCAAGGCGACGGCCAAGTTAAACAAGTTGCGATTTGGGCGCATTTATCAAAGCAACTTTTTGGTAGAATCAAAATTAATCCATAAGTCAAGACATGATTTAACTAACACTGCAAATATATATACTCAAACACATATATTCTGTTGAAATTGCGTATAATATTTAGAGGCAACGTGTCGTATGCGCAACATTGCGTATTATTTATTGATTTTATACAGCTCGAGCTTTTGTGCCACTGCGGCAGCTGGGACTTGCTAAGTGTGGTTAAGGTGTCAGCATCAGCAGGTAGCATAGTCAAGGCACCCATGGCAACTACCTCGACTTGACATTTATTAATTTTTTCACTCACATTTCGTTCAATATATTTTTATGTTTAAGCTGAAAAAGTTCTCGGCTTAACTACATATTTGCAGCGCTTTGTGGGTGTATTTTATTAAAGCAAATATCATCATTAGGAACACACACATGAAATGGCGCTCAAAGGGAAGCAGCTCCATTACATGCCTGTTTGCATAGCCTCAATTTGAGG